CGCTCCGACCCTTGGTATCTTTCCCCCGACCCTCTGCCCCCCCCCCCCTCCCGCACGAGTGCAGATGAGGAGGGTCTGGATGGAGAAAAGAGATGTTATCAACCCCCACCCTCTCTAGGAAACCAGCTTGGGCAGGACTGTACGAAGAGGTATGGCTTCTCCTGAGTCTCCGATCATGTTGCTCCTCAGTTTGTGGTTGGCAGCTGTGGTGCCTAATCCTGCCCCACCTTTGGCCATGATTGATGGAAAGGAGGTGCTGTGGTGCTCAGGGAGTCGTTTTACCACGGACCCCGGACTCTTCTCTGTTCCAGGCATGGGCTTTGGCAGCCTGCGATAAAGCCAAGGATGCCTGAGGGCCTGGCTGGGGGTGAGGCGAGATGAGGGGTCCCAGTCCAAACACTTCTTTAAGAAGTCAGTAAAGGTGGGGTCCTCGCAGCCCTTCAGAGCAGCGCTCCATTCCTTGCTACCGGGAGGGCCTCTCATCTTCCCGCGGCGGGAGCGAGAACCTGTCAGCACCGTGGCGCCCGTGGGCAGCGTGCTGGTGCCACAGTAGCGAGGGTGACCCTTAGAGTTGATGAAGTTCTTTGCCCTTTTCGCCTGCTCCAAAACCTTTTGGGGAGGCATTCCCAGGAGCTCCATGACACAGGCCAGCTGGTCACCTTCATCCTCTCCGGGGAACAGAGGGTAACCGGTGAGCAGCTCAACCAGGATGCAGCCGAAGCTCCACATGTCGATAGGAAGGCCGTAACGTGAGCCAAGAATCACCTCTGGAGCCCGATAGAAACGAGACTGGATGTAGGTGTAAACACGCTGGTGTTCAAAACAGCTGGAGCCAAAGTCAATAACCTGGATGGGGAAAAAGGACAACAGAGAGTTGTGTAAGTGAACGTCACCCCTGGAGGTTGAGAAGATGTTGCTGCCTCCGGTGTCTTACCTTGATTCCGCTGCGTCCCTGCTGTTTAAGCAGAATGTTCTCTGGCTTGAGGTCACAGTGGATGATTCGGTGTCGGCTCAGGGCCTCCAGGCACTGAAGGATTGAGTGTGCAAACTTTCTGACCAGGGCCAGGCTGAAGCCCTGGAACTTGTTGCGCTTGATCAGCTCATAAAGGTTCATGCTCAGCAACTCAAAAGTCATACAGATGTGATTGCGAAAGGTGAAGTTTTCAAGCATGTGCACGACGTTCATTGTGCCGTTTCGATCCTGCTTGCGCAAATGCTCCAGGATGCGAATCTCCTCCTGCGCTTGTCGGTGAAAGCGCTTCTCGTTGCGCACCATCTTCAAGGCCAGGTGCTGCTGCAGCTTGTGGTCGTAGACTTTGGCAACCTGGCCAAAGCTTCCTTTACCAATGATCTAAAAGGAACCAAGAAGAAGATCAGTATTTAATTCACAAAAAAAAAATAAAAAATCAGGTGGTATTAGTCACACAGGATTTCCAAACGTGTCACCTTCAGGAATTCGTAGCGGTAGGCCAGGTGGTCGTGCGGGACGTGAATGTAACCTCCTTGTTCGTCGTCGTAGCCACAGTTGTTGTTGCCACCAGCAACAGCGGGCCTCTTCTTTGCATTGGGTCCCACAAAGTAGATGTCCTGGTACGAGTGGATCTCCGTCTGCTCCAAGGAGGTCAGCTGAGATCGGTACAGCCTCAGAGCCTGGTCAGGGGTGAGCGGACCACACATCTTGCCGCTGTTGCCTCCGACTCCTTGCGTGCCGGAGGATTCAGTGGAGCCCTTGCTGGATTCAGTGCTGTCATCGACACACAATTCATTAAGAAACGGATACTTTTTTTTCCCCCCAACACTTCATCATCGTGGTCGTCACCTCACCTATCAACACTGTGTTCCTTGGACAGGCTGGGAACCAGGGCAGGTTTACTGGGCGGCTGACCGGTGGTCCCACTGTTGTGTGTGGAGGCTGTGGTTATAGCGTTGATCTTGCGGTTGTTGGTCGAGTCTTCGTACAGGTACTTGACCTTCAGTTGTCCACCTCGCACAGATACCTGATCCCTCAGAACCGTTTTGTTACTGACCACCTGTAGGAGAGAAAGGAAGGATATTGAACTTTACAATTCAATCAAAGCCGCAGTGCAACACACGAAAAACAATCAAAGATTGTTAGATGAAGTTGATACATCGTCTGAAAGTGTTTTAAAGTAAAACAGCACTTTAGTTTTTCAATTGAGCCCATGTATAGATGCAAAAACTTAATTGAAATTGTTTTATTGGTTTGAGAAACATCAAATATACAAGTACTAATGACTGCACCACAAACTATTCACACAGAAACTAATTAAAATGATCTCATAGATGGACTCCTCCAGTACGAGGTTACCTGGTAACAGGACGGGGTGTAATAACATACCTCTACCAAAGGCTCAGTCTCTGAATGAGTCATAGCTCACAAATTTGTGCCGAGCCTAGCAAGAAAATTTCCATTTCGATTTAGCAACAATGTTTCTCATCAGGGCAAAATCCAAATCCTATCTCTGTACAAATGCATGAAGAGGAGTTCCAGGCTGTGGCTGTGACTGTGCCCGACTGCTGAGCAGCTCCAGTCGTTTATACAACAAGAACAGACAAGAAAACCCACGGGCAAAACAGAAGCTACCAGTATCACCTATATTAAATCATTAATACATGTTTGAGTGTGTTGCTGTTAGCTGTTAGCTGTTAGCTGCCCACATTTCTTGGCCACAGTTGATGAGCTGCTGACCTGAGGAATAGGGACCGGCGTAACGTAATCTATTTATTTGTCAAATAAAACAAGGAGGTCAAACCCTTCTTTAACAAACCCAAACGAACAGATGAGGGCGAGAGCCAATCTGAGCTACGCATGCTGCTTAGAAGGCGGGACATGTAAACAGAGATCCAATTAGAGATAGTGTGTGTCTGGCAGTAGAATAAACAAGACAGTACAAAGGCAGCAGCCTAAAAACTCCATTTGTCACAAAGGAAAATGACAGGTCAGAGAAATGGACCATTTTAATGTCAAATGAACGTTTGTTTACTTTAAGGTCATACTGTAGTACTGCCACTGCACCAACAAAGCCAGGTAAAACCTCTTTAGAATGAACAAAGATTGCTAAGACAATCTAAAAGGTTACACGAGTTTACTTAGTTTTTTTAGTTTTTATTTCAGCTCACTCAGGAATACATCCTTCCTGACCGGCCGTCTCACTCCTTCTCTTTCTCTGTCATCAGCGGAAAGAAGCCTCCACAAGATTATGGAGCACAAGGGAAAACACAGTCATTAAAGTGTAATTATACTCTTAAACTGTGGAGGCAGTGTGGCTGTTAATAAGACATGACATAAACTCAGCACTGCCTTCCCATTACCAGTCAGGCATATAAGGCTCTCCCTGGTCCAGTTCAGACCTTTAATTACGATTCGTCCTGAGTGATTTGATTTACACGCTGAGTCTAGAACAACCGTTCACACCTGCCACGGCCCAGGTCGCACATTTAAATGCACAACAGCACCATGTGTGTCCATCAGGACAAAATTAGGTTTTTGTGGGTCAGCGACAAAAAGAGAGAGAGAGAGACAGAGGGAGGGAGAGAGAGAGAGAGAGAGAATACTGTAAAAATGTACATTTTCCAGATCAGAAATAAGAAATCAACTAACATCAAGTGACATCAGCGGGACTTTTGGAGCTGGTAAATCCTAAATGGTTAAAAAGTGAACCCACACCAGGTCACTGGATGTCAGCTGAGGTCTCTGGTCCATTTTCAGAACGTGTCATCAAACCACAGAAGTGTGTGGTTTGTGTGATCGGATGTGAGAATGGGCGCAAAGTGTTTCTGGGCTTAGCACCGTCTAGATCAGATGGGATCAGTTCGGGCAGATGTCAAAAGGAGTCTGCTCTCTCCGTGTCAGATGAATGGCAGAGTGACCCATTTAAAGGAGGGCCAAATGTTTGCTCCTAATATTTGCCTGCTGCCCTGTGGAGCTGACTACAAACTTGTAAACACAGCAGGTCTGTGGCTTAACCCGTGTCATCTGATAAAGACGATAGAAGAAGAACCGAGCATACATTAAAAGTAGGTGTTGACATGTGTCGCGGGAGATCTTGGCTCAGCGTGTTTATGTTTTAAGTGTTAGTCTTAAAATAGAGGTGGAATGCTGGACGGGTTTCCATACATGTAACCGTACGGTATAAACTTATCACAACAGGCCGTTTGTTGACCCAGAGTTCCATGCAGCTGTCGTTGAAGCCTGTGCTTCAAATACAACCAATCGGAAATTGATCCTCTTCGCTGAACACACAGATGTAAACGCTGACATTAAAAAAAACATCTACAGCAATAACTGTTGGACTGTTCACAGACAGTGAGTGCAGGTATTGGGGGTTCATTCAGAAGTCAGACCTGACTTGTCAGAGTGACAACAAACACCGAGTGTATCTTCTTTAACAAAGGATAAACTGAGGGTTTACAGCCGCCTGGGCGCAAATCTGCACGGTGCAACAGATGGAGGAGAGCTAATCTCCTGGCTGTCAAAGAAACACATAAGTATGCTTTTCTTCATCCCTCGGCAGTGGCAGCACACACAGGGTTACACACACACACACCAACACATGGAGGTGACACACAAACACTTCTGTGGCACATTTATCTCCACACCAAAGTCAGGGCGGCTGACATAAAGCACCTGCGGTGGTGTTCCACTCAGAGGGTTACCAGACCGTGGTTTGATCATTTACTCTAACTTAAAATAATCAATATATCAGAACTCTAATGGTTTTTGATCCATGTTTAACAGGCTGGGGGTGAAATGCTTTTATGACTTTAGCAGAGCTGTGCTAACGCTGGATGAACTGGGACAAACTACTGTCAGTCAACACCTCAGTGAGCACCACTGAAAACACAAAGGACGCAGGACAGGACTGGAACAGAGACATTCCTACATGGGTCATGAAAGGGGATGGCACGAGACAAGAGAGGGAGACGGGTGAGACGGGCGGTTGATTAGTGATTTTGTTTCTGGGTCACATTTTCCCAAGCCCAATAAATCTTTACAATATATCAAAGCAGCCATTTCCCACCCCCTCCTCTGACAACATGTGAGGGACAGGACGGAGGACGAGGATTTGACATTTTCAGAGACTCGTTGAGGCGTTTGTGTCAGTTTTTTATTTTTTTAATAAAACAAATAGGCCTCAAAGTGTAAAGTACAACATACAGATGCATTTAAGGTCATTTAGAGTTTAGCAAATATTCTTTCTGACATTGGTATGTTCAACGTTTCAAATGTCAGTGTTTCATTTTTATCATCAGCCTAAAATTATTATTCCAAGTTCAAGGTGGTTTTGAATCAACTTTATTAAAGAAAGGAGTCCTGATTGGACGATTTATCTACTTTAAAGACCAGTCAACACTGTCAACTACAACAATGTGTTTCATATTGTTTAATAATAACACTGTAACGTTACACTCTAATATAAAGAAAGATGGTGTGATTTATTTTTATTTTTTCCCGGTGCTGACAAACTGCATATTTGTTCCTTTTCTTCATACAAACCCTTTTCTATTTTTATTCTCTTCTAATGCAACACAGTAACACGACACAAGACGTTGCACTATTCATGACACACCAAAGTGGGATGTCCTGCTAATCCTCATGAACGTTAAGGGAACGCTGGATTTATATCGAACAGAAAATGACTCCTCATCGTAACGCCTCATCTGGTGCATGCAGAAGGAAGAGATTTAGGCAGGCTAATGTGACCACAGGTCATCAGGTCAATCAATATTAGCCACAGAAACACATTTAACAATGGAGCTAAGGTGCACAGCTGGTAGAAGACAGTGAGAATAATAACAGAGCACACCACATATCTAAGAAGGGAGAACCAGGGGAATCTCTCTCCCCAAGGAACAGGATGTTAAGAAACAGGAGTGTGCGTCACCACAGGAAATACGGTTTTGTGTGTGTGTGTTTATACTTACAGTGTGTTTGGGCATTGGGGGCAGCCCGGACGGACTGTTTGTATCTGCTTCATCTTTAAGGATGTGGTCGGTCCTCATGTACGAGTCATACAGACCGTCACCGTGACGAGCTGGGAGGACAAACAGACAAGAACAAACAAGTCAGTGTGATAAAGTGGAACTGTCAGGTCTACGACAGACACAGATGCGGTGACAGTAGCTAACTAATCTTTGTCTCAGAGAACAATTTCTCCATTGTTTGTACAAATCAAGTCCCATTGATTATTTCATCAGGTAACCTCTGGCTGCTGATACACATAAAACATAAAACAAACAAGATTGTTTCTGTGTAACACAATCCACACTGATACTGTTAGACCACAGGTCATGTACAAAGCATCAGCTACAGTTCTGCTAACTGTCAAACCGCTGCTAGTAGCAGCCAAACCATTCACTTCACAAGGTTCAAATAGAAGGACTCTGGGCCAGAGCCCTGACCCGACCAGCTTAGGTAGGGCTTACAGTCTCAGATCGCTAGCACTGCAAGTGGTATTATTGGCCTAATGGGGGTAACAGATGCGTCTCTGACGACAGCATCTTCCCGTCTGCCCATCTGTCCATTCGGACCGAGTCATGTAGTCCACACACCAGGTGTGCTCAGAAATAGATCTCAAATGCGGAGATGCCAGTGCTCGTGGTTCATTAGGGCCGTGCGTGCCTTCACCTCTCGTGGCACGGAGCCAAATGCAGAATGTCAGGTGATATGGGGAAGAGGAGCTGGACAAGAGAGGCTTTGGGACTACAGAGGGGACCATGTTACTCAAATGACAAACCCTCGTCTACCTGCTGCTCCATTTAACTTGTCAACGAAGCCCATCACTCTGATATACTGCTGTCTGAGCATCTGAAATAATGCAGATCGTTTACAGAGCTGCTGTGTTGGTTCACTCTTTGTCAAATGTAAACCTTCTGCAGGGTTGTTCTGTTCTCAGAGCAGCCCCTGAGGCTGGTACAGCCACGTGACCGATGTCCCTTGTCTATGTCCTTTGTGCTGGTGTGTCAACAGAACAGCTCTGGGACAACTTGGACTTAGTGCTTAGATACATCCAGATGTAACATTTCTGAGCGGTAACGCAAACACAGACATTAAGGCTTCACACACACAGGTATCGAGCGCTGCAGACACCATTAGACTCCTGCTAACCTATAATCACTCAGCAGGGGCTTTGAACCGTCTGTACGTCACTGCTGGTGTTGTCTGAGCAAAGTGTCTTACATGGAAAAAGATAAATAAATAAATGTGCAGACTTCAAAAGTAACCAAACATCCAGCCCACTTCGTCCAGCTGGTGCTTCAACTTCCATCAGTATTACCCCCCCCCCTCACCCCCCCATTCTACTGCACAGCAAAGACCACAGAACAAGGTTCAAGGAATCAAGTACACAGTGCAGATCATGTGTCATTGAACGTGTCAGTGGGAGCTCAGTGGGGTGAAGACGGCCTTTGTCTTCCCCTTCCTGGTATCTTGGACAAAGCATCTATTTACAGATATTATAACGAGCATACACAATATGGTACATGTGAGTGGGGGCTTGGTAATGCTGTTCAGTTTCCAAGAGCTTAATATCTGTCTGACACAGCAAACATAGGAACAAGGAAAATGCCTGTATTATGCAACGACAACATCACATGACAGTTACGGTGATATCACTTTTGTTTAACGTTGCACAGTCGCGGTGGCTCATCACACAGTGAACGTTTGTTCATCAAAACAGCAAAAAAAGAAAAACCCAAAACATGTTTACATCTGGAGTCTTGTGACATCTGACTAATACATGTTCACAGACTGACCTAGAGTGACATTTCAGGTGTATTTTTCCATAACATCACTGCAACAGTAACTATGATGATGATCATTAATACTCAATATTCTATCCTGACGAATGTAGAAAATGTCAGACCTTCAACACAAAGCACTTCTTGTTTTGGGATTTCTGAAGTCTTAAGTCAACTAACTAATGACTGAGAAAACGTTCAGCAACTATTTGTGATGCTTTAAATAATGTCAACTAAATGGATTTTTTTAAGACAAAAACAAGTTTTCCAGTTTTTCTTCTTTTGAAGTTTCTAATGACAAACGTCAAACTTTTGTTGCATTACTGCCACCTGTAGGTTATCACTTTTTGGACTTTATTAGAGACAACTTGACATTGTAGCAATTTGTTTTGGTCATGTATGAAAAACAAATCTAGTTTGTTTGCATTTCAGATCATTATTTTTCAGAGATCTAGTCAAATGTTTCCATTCTCGTTTATAACTTTGCGTTCTTTTTGTCTGCCTGCAGTCACATGTCCCTCGGTGGGATATAAAGGTGTAAAAGAAAAACCAGAAGTCTGCACTATATGCGATTAAAGTGAAGAATTAGACTTCCAAAACTTTCCTCGAAGATAGAGGCGCAATGTCTTCAAGGATCTGAAGCATGATGCCAAACTTTAAGCTCTAAGGATAGAAGTAATGACGGAGGAGCTTCACGGACAAGGAGAGACGCAGACAAAACAGAAACCTCAGCGCAAACTAAGGCACGTGGTATTTTCGTAAATGCCAGGAGCTGAGCAGTATGTGAATCCAATACTTGACCCAGTGAGAAACAGAAAATGAATCCGTATTCAACAAAAACATGACCTCGATCATTTTAAAGATAGGTAAACAAAAGTTTTACGATCGTGTTGTAGTTACCTGTTGCTATTGGGCCCTCTGGTTTTCTGCTTATTATCATCATGACTGCAAATTATAAACTTGACGCCAGCATCCGAAGAGGGGAAAAACATCCAGAATTTAAAGAACAATAAAGATGGAAAGTGGATGTTCACGATAGGAAAAATGTTGTTGCAAACTTTGCCAACAGCGTCGTGGATGTTATTGTTGTTTGCTGGTGACTGCAGTCCCGGTACCGCTGAGCTTTGGTTTCGACTGACCTATTTTCTTCTTGAATGGATTCTGTCTATAATTTATCCTCGATTTATCGAAACCACAGAGTTTGGGTGTATTCAGCGGGCTGACAGTAGCCTTGAAAAGGCTGAGCAGGAGGCGGTGGGGGTCGTTTCTCTCTGCTAACTAGCCAGCTAGCTCGCACAGCCACAAACACTGTGTTCCGCCCGGTCGCCGCTCCCTCTGGTAAAAAATAGTCTGAGTCCAAATGCTACAACTCGGTGCTCTGACCCGCGTTCCCCTCTCCTTTCTCTGTCTCTGCAGTGAGGCGATCCAGTGCAGCATTCCCGTGCTTATTCCCGGTTTACTGTCTTTGTTGCTGGCAAACAGCGACGCCGCCACTCGGCGAAAAGCCCCAGTGGTGATGTTCTCCTCCCGGACAGCTCTTTTGACTTCGGCTAGCCCGATACGGCTAGCTGTGCAGTGGACCCATGTTAGGTGTGGTCATCAACAGGAGCATCTCTCTGTAGTGGCAAAGCTTTACCTGGACTCTGGGTTACAAAGCGACAGTGTTTAATCCCTCTTCTCTGCCACAGGAGGATCTTATTCGACGCAGCTGCGAGTTGTTGCTAAGGGCGTCTTCACTCAGCCTGTGGTCAGCAGCGAGCAGGGGGCGGAGCTTAGCAGCAATACAAAGGGCAGGAGGGCGACGCACAGTGGTCAACTGACACACTGCATCATTGGATAAATTAGAGCCGTTTCTTCATTATACCACTAAAAAAACGTTTATCAAGCCGCAAAATATTGGTTAACGGGTTAATTCCATATCGTTGCGTATAGTTTTAAGTACTGTGGTTTTATTACATGATTATATAGATACACAAATGAATCAATTTCTTATCGTTTACGTGGCATATCACTGTAAAAACAGAAGAGGCCAATTTGTACATGTAACACCGTTCCTGCTAACTGTAACAGATGCTAGAAATTGAATTAAAACATTTTTAATAACAATAAACAGAAATCAGAGAAATAATTCTGCCCATGTCGACCTCCTATAATAATAAAATGTTGATATAAAATAACAATAAATACTACTTAGGCTATAATAAAAGACCCCTTTGGTGTTATTGTTACAAATATGTCATTCAAACAGCAATTACAAGACACATTTCTATAAACATTTGATGTTATTTCTGATTGTATTAATATATTTGTAAAATAAATGAATAAATACATGAAATAAATAATAGATTCATGTAATGACACTGTAAAAACTTGGTCATATTTAGGGTCTCATAACCTAAGTATTGTTTATATTTTGTTTAATTTTAAATGCATATATATCTTTTACTTAAACCTAATGTTTGCTTTGTCTCCCTCCTTTTCACAATAATTAGATGATGCAGATGAAGTCATTTATAACTCATGACATATGATGAATCATTAGGATCCCTAAAATGATTTATAAATAAGGAGGAGAGATTAAGAGATGTTGAAAACAGCAGCCTGAGGTCCGAGAAGACCTTTCCTGTGTTGGTCTTTTAGTTTGCAAACTCCGTCAGGAAAGCTACACCGCAGATTGAAACTGGAGAAGATATGGAGATCTATACATGTCTAGATATATTTGGGGCAGGACAGACGAAGTGAGACCGGGCAGGCATGAGAAGGGGAACGGGCTAAATTCAGCCGGTGATACATACTGGGCAGAGGGTGATGCTAATCTTAGTGCTTTCTCAGAGGTGAGAAGAGGGGCTCTTTCTATATTTGCCGCCATAAATAAGAAGACTGACACAGTTTTAAGTGGTCCCGTGGGCAGCAGCCAGCCTTTAAGGCCATCTGGCCTCATGTAAAGTATTTTAGACAGTGCTGCATAAAGGGTAGGAGGTCTGTGCCAAAAAAACTGATCTGCTGATTATACTTCATCTCAATAGTTCAAGAAGTAACAGTATGTCAATGCTAATCACAGCCGTTGGATTTACAACCAAAGCAACAGATGGGACCAGGTGCAAACCTACCTACAGCAACCCGTGGGTGGCGCTGGGTGGGGGGGAGGTCGTGGTGATCGGGCTGTATTTGGTCTCTGAGACAGTGACAGACACTAACACCTGTGGGTTTGTTGGCCTTATACCTGGTGTTGGAGGTCATTAAATAAAAAAGCAGAACAGGAATGGACACAACCTCATTACACCTTCAACAGCATAGATAAACCGTCTAAGAAAATCAAATTACGTTATGGTGGGAAGGCATAACGGAGGGAGAGAAACACGAAAGCAAAATCACACAAGGTTGTTTGTGAGACCAACAGCCACCGCTTCTCTGCATGGTAGCAATTGCTCTATTGCCCCCTGGTGGTTCTTTATGCATCATCAATAAATCAATAAATGGACCGTGATGTAACAAACTTTGTGGCAAACTTTTCTGAAACATTGATTTAAAAATGTATCAATAACATTCCAAAAGGAGGATACAGTTTTTATTCGTTGTATCTTGTACAGTTCTACAGATATATTTCTACATAGTTCTTTCAAATTTAAACCAAAAAATGAATTGCAAAAAAGCATGACTCTAAAGACTCAACAACCTACACATAGTATTATGTGGACGGCGTGAGCCATGAAATAAATAACACACAACACAGACACACTCACACACTCACACACAGAGACACACACTGTACACATTGGTTACAAATTTGGGATGGGAAAGCAAGAAAAAAACAAAAAGCCAAACAACAGATACCTGTGTGCTAAAACACCACACTGGGGTACATGGAACGAAAGGCACTGCCAGCAGAACAGACTGGGCTTTGTGTGTGTGAAGATGCTGAAAAGGACTGGTTTAAATGAAAATAATGTGCCTCCATCAGGCCTGGTAAGAAGAGGCGAAATATGTTTGTTTTAAAAAGAAAATTTAAATATTTTTGTTTTTGGTTCAGTGCATTCATTTTAAAACCTGGATGCCTAGTAGCTTAGGCAAAACGATGTGTACTCTGCAGAACTTATTGGAGTATTTTATGACGTGTGTAGTAACCGTTCATGTCCTGGCCTGAAGAGGGCGTGGTGATGAGGTGACAAATATGATTCACATTTTCCTCACAGTTTAAGATGAGGCACACACACACACACACACACACACAGCAGAACTGATACCAAAATGTATATTATTATGTTTGTCTTAAATTGTATCATATTAAACCAAGTCACTCTTCGTCCAGTGTCTACAGAATACATACCCATTGCAAACAAAGCATCAATACATCAAAGCCATTTTTACATATTTTTCACCTTTTTTTGGGAGGGGATGGTGGAGGGTGGAAGGTGTTTAAATAGATGGAGAACAAAACAGAACTAAACAAATGCATGCCAAGTCCCGGAGGTTAGGGTTATACACTGACCTGCATTCATATGTGCAAAAAGAGTCGTTCTTTCATTATCATATACCTCCTTCAAATACTTCTCTTTCCTTTAAAATCCTCTCAATAGATACAGTATATCCCTCTATGCTTTGGTGTAAAAATATCATTTCAACATTCCGTTACAGTCACCATACTGTACCACAGCTGTATATGCAAATTATAAAACATAGGGATGTCTGATAATAACGGTCGGCCGATATTAGCGCAATTATGTAATATCAGTAAGATCGTTACCGGTTTTGTGGAGTCCTGAGACGTTGTC